GCTACTCTCTCTCTCTCTCTCACCCTCTCTCTCTCTCTCTTATCCAACATAAATTAGCTTCTCCGCTGCACAAAGGTTAATGAACTGCTTACATGATGAAGACCTGTCATGCATGAGCTATAAAGCCTTGATATCCCGTCACCTAAAGAAAGCCAAACTTAGATAAGAGTGACCTTTTCTGTATGCTGATTTGTTGTTACTTACCCCCCTCACGGTCATAGTTCATTGTTTTGACTGATATATGACACAAGAAACAGGCCCACTTCATCTTTTATCAAAGTGTTTATTTCATATGGTTTTGTAATAATATCTTTCTATATGTTCATACAGATCATTGTCAGAGAACTCAGGTTTTACCATTCATATCAATGCACTCATAGGAGGTCTTACAAGGAATGTTTTGTGGGCTCTCAGAAAAGATCGCCTCCCTACCTGGATGCTACAGAAAACAACTTGTCTTGTTTGGATCACATAATGGCATGGCAACCATTGTCGCTCGTCCCTTTGTTCTGCTGATTCGTACTATAGGATCTAACAGGATCTAAATGCCATTGGCCACCGATGGTGTTTCTGCAGCGCAGAGGGCTGACAGTGATTCTTGCAGTCTGGTTTATCGGCTGCAATGTCCAAGTCAAGACGTGTTGCGTCTCTGAATGCACTCAGAACCATGATTTCCCGTGTGCTTTGGTGCTCCTCGTCGTAGCTATCTTTTGTGATCCAACACATGGAGATGTTCATGTTCAAGCGATATACTACTGATCTACAAGTCATTGTAAATAGTGAACTGCATTCTGAAATCTATTCACAACAGTGAACCGATCACTTGGATCTCTCTTGAATGCTCTCGGATCCATGCACAAGAAAACAATTTAACCTTGGGTTTTGCTGCTGCTTCCCATCTGCTCCTTCAATTTGAAGTACCAGATAAGGCCCCAAAACCTGTTTTTGTTCGGCAGTAAGTGGTACCAGCAGCCTCTTTGATTGCGTGTGGTCGAAGAAACTTAGAAGTTTCCTGTGGCAAATCTTCACAGATAAGTTCAGAAACATCCATAGATTCTTGTCATTTCCTTTGCCTTTTACCTCGAATTGTATTATCTTTCTTTTCCGATCCTTTCTGTCCTTGTATGTACAGTATTTTTGTGTTTCATACAGTGATTGTTGTGTCAAAAAAGACGTACACCACTTTTGGATCAGTGCGCAACACTTGTGTTGTGCAGAGTGGCCAAAAGCAATAAATAAGAAAGAATTTTATATCTTTTTCTTTTATTCCATGCTGAAATCAGGTAAAATTTTATTATCGTTAACCATTTATATTATCTATATTTCTATTTAATATATTTTCTATATTTTTATTTTTATTTGTTACAGTATATCATTTATTTATTAAAAATAATTCAAACAAAAATCTTGAGAATTTTTTTTATTTCGAAATAACCATTTTTTTCTTCCCATCATTAATATTTAAAGAAATATAATAAAAATAGATACCTAATACGTAATCAAAATAAGAATAGGACTCGGTTAAATGTCTGATTCCCATATCAGAGATCTGACCCGCAATGGAATAAGAATAACATTATAGCTTAACAGTGTTGGTGTAAACAACTTAAAGCCGTGGCCTCGGGGTTGTCGCGGCTTAGTTCGGATCCGGATGATAGGGGATCTCCCTGGGACGTTTCCCGAGACCGCTGAGGCGGCCGATTGCGTTGGTCCGATCGGGACGGGGTCGCCATTTCATCGGGAGAGAACCCCCGCATGCGCCTTTAGTAGACGACCTCTTCCTTCGCACCTAACCTTTGGGTTGGGGAGCTCGACCCGACCCCTTCGACGATCAAGTTAGTGGATAGTCGCAGGGGGTTTCTTTGGCTAAGTTCTCTATGTCTCCTCCTCTTTTTTCCTCTCGGAGCGCGAGGGTTTTTATAGTGAGAATTACTGTTACCTGATGTGCTGGCTCGCAGGGAGCAGGACCGTACTTCTGGTAACATCCGACATTATCGTTGGCATGGCGTGAGGGATGAAACCTGAAGAGGGCATTAATGCGTCTTGGTAGGCGTTCCGATCCACGTTGACCAGGTGCCTCATCAAATCAACAGAGGCGTGATGCCTCATCTGGTGCAGCTGATGTCATGAGTCTTATCGCAATTATTACCCTCATCAAACGGATCCTCCGATGCTTCCTCGACCCGAAATCTAGCGGGTTGGCGGCGTTCAACCCGGTCGAGGTGTATACGTACCCACCCCAACTACGAAACTCCGCGCGCCTTCCCGCCTCGGCTTCCTCCTCGAGACGAAATCAAAACCCTATACGTCTCTTCCGCTTCCCCAAAATTCATCTACTCTTTTCGGTTTCTCCAGTGGATTATACCTGGAGAGGTCACTACCTTGGAACCCTGGATTTGCGCAACAAGTACGTTCTTGGAGCCAGTAAATAAATTCTTCGAGATTGTCGATGGGTTCGGTTTCCGATTGTTGGAACATCCGTATTCCTTCGCAAAGATCGGTTTTTTTCTGACACGCTGTTACTATTGGAGGAATATTTTGATTGAATCAGGTCGTTTTAGTTGAGAATTTGAGGGTTTTTTGAGAGTTTTGAAGCACAAGTGTGATCTCATAGGGGAAAGGTAGGTTTTTGGAAATGGAGAATATGGTTGGTCAGAGCTTGGAGGAAAGCCAGCCCGTTGATCTCTCTCTGCATCCGTCTGGCATTGTTCCCAGATTTCAGTAAGTTCCTTGCTTCCATCTCTTTCCAGAGAAAATTATTTAGTTAGTACTATAATTTGATTGCGGAAGAAAAGTTTCATATGTTTTGAAAATATCAAAGTTTATGAATCATGGGCTACACGGACCTCAAGAACTTAGCATCAGTGTCTGACGCCCGGTATTTATATGAACAATTTGCAAATATTCTGTTATCTTTACTGCATAACTATTTTACTAGATGTCCATGGGCTCTTCCTATATGGTTCGTTGGTCTTTTTTAGGAATATTGTTTCGACGGTAAATTTGGACTGTAGGTTGGACCTTCCAGCCATAGCTATTCAGGCTCGAAATGCAGAGTACAATCCCAAGGTATGCAGAAAAAAATTGTTTAAGATCATGAAGCATATTATTTTTCGTTTTGTGATTTACTGGTTGCTTCACTATGTTTCTCGATCCTAACTGAGTTTTTTGTCTTTTTAAAGAAAGCATACTGAAAACGAGATTCCCAAATTCTTTGCTTGTGATTTGGCCTATTGATTAGGAATCTCTACCTCTAGTAAACAAGCTTCAAACTTTTGAGTCTTATATAATGTTCTCAAATCCAGAAGCATATCTGCATTGTGTAGAGTTCATGTCAGTTTGAGATGCATATACTATGACTGTTAAACAAAACTTGACTTAATTAATAATCATCTCAAGATTTCAAGTTTATTGACCATTATTTGGCACAAATATAATGGCCATTATTATATGGCTTATTTGATATCTGCATATATGTCTTTTAAAGAAAGCATACTGAATATTCCTAAGTTCTCTGCTTGTGATTTGGATTATTGAGTAAGAATCTCTACCTCTAGTAAACAAGCTTCAAACTTTTGAGTCTTACATAATGTTCTCAAATCCAGAAGCATATTTGCATTGTGTAGAGTTCATGTCAGTTTGAGATGCATATACTATGACTGTTAAACAAAACTTGACTTAATTAATAATCATCTCAAGATTTCAAGTTTATTGACCATTATTTGGCACAAATATTACGGCCATTATATGGCTTATTTGATATCTGCATATCAGTCTTTTAAAGAAAGCATACTGAATATTCCTAAATTCTTTGCTTGTGATTTGGATTATTGATTAAGAATCTCTACCTCTAGTAAACAAACTTCAAACTTCAGTTTGAGATGCATACTTTTGACTATGACTGTTCAACAAAACTTGACTTAATTAATAATCATCTCAAGATTTCAAGTTTAATGACCATTATATGGCACAAGTAATCTTAGTTGACAAAAATTACTTGATAGAGCTTAGAACAAATATCTTGACATCCTTTCTAAGTGATCTTTTGGCCCATTATTTGAGTGATAATTTCATGGAACTTATATGTAGATTCTTATATGTTTGTGACCATCCATTGGTTTCTTTTAATTTGAGCATCATTGTTTTTACCTTTAACATTAATTGATTTGTGCTAAGATTTGCTGTTTGATTTTTTTTTTTCTTTTTTGTGCTATTTTAGCGTTTTGCTGCAGTCATTATGAGAATAAGAGATCCGAAAACCACAGCTTTGGTATTTGCATCTGGAAAAATGGTAGGCGGAACTTATTATGTACATATACATCACTTTTTTCTTACCTAATTTGTTCTCTTTGGTTATAGTATTTTTTATTATAATGGTTTATGCCATGATGTTATGCTATCATAATTGTTACTCATGTTGCTTATTTCTGTTGGTAGTTAGAATTTTTCTGCTTCATGCAAGAAGAAAAAAAGTTTTACGCAAGAACTCTCTACCTGCTTTTGCTCTTTTTGTTTGTTAAGGACATTATCATGCTGCAAAACTTGCAAAGCTGGTGTTTGAACAGGAAAAGAATAAAGTATCTGTTAAAATACAAAGATAACCTGGTCCTGCGCCCTTGTGAAATATTTGTATCATATGTATGTTTGGCTTAAATGGCATAAAAGAAAACGATAAGTATAGAATAACAATGTTACTTTGGTCAGATGAAGTTTTGAACCTTCAATCTTTTGGTAAAATGAGAGCTGCAATTTTTTGTTTAAACATACATTGAAATCATGACCTCTAAAAAAGTGCTTCCCTTATGCATCATGGACAAGTAACAAAAGAATGTCATGCTAATTTAATTGATTGGCATTTGCAATACACAGTTCTTGCTTTTCTTGTATTTTTATCTTATATGATGTAATTTCTGTTGTCTTAAGGTTTATAACCATGCAAAAAATTGCATATCTGAAGGTTTACGATTATAGGCTTTTTTTGTATCCCTTGAGTGCTAATCTCTGAATTATAGGATTTAATTATGATTTGTGAACATATCTTTTAACATAGTATTTCCTAGAATTTGCCTTGGTTTTTCATTTTTGATCTTGTTTTTGTTGATAAAACTGTGAAGGAATGAGCTTTTCTTGGGTTAACTGAACTTTAAAAATTATGCCTAGCTAGTTCTTATTCTGTTGACATTGCCGTGAGTACTCTCAGATTCAGATTATCTCAACCTTAGGTTTGTTTAATATACAATTGGATAAACTAAATAAATTTGCTCCAGTGTAATATCTCTGAGTGATATTGGAAACTCATGTTACTATTTCAGTTAAAGAATCTATCATCTTTCATGATCTTTTTATCCTTTGATAAAACATTGGTGCTTGTGATCTATGATGAGGATTACAATGAAGATTTTGCTCTTTTTGTCAGGTTTGTACAGGAGCAAAGAGCGAGCAGCAATCAAACCTTGCAGCGCGGAAGGTAGTGATTACTTTGATGATATTATCCATTCTCAAAATTGGACCTTATGCTTACAGTATGAATTTTAGAGTTTATTAGCTGGTTTGTAACCTGTGCAAAGAGCAATGTTAGATTATTATCATTAAAATCACTGATGTTATCACTTCTTCTGGTTTTCAGTATGCTCGTATCATCCAGAAGATAGGTTTCCCAGTTAAATTTGAGGTATTTAGTCATGTAATTGAAGTTCCTGGTGTTTTCTACTTTCCCCCTCCCTTTTTTTATATTATATCTCCTTAGATTTCTATTGTTTTTCGTTGTGGCATATAGAATTTCAAGATCCAGAACATTGTTGGTTCATGCGATGTAAAATTTCCTATAAGGCTTGAGGGCCTTGCCTATTCTCATCAATCTTTCTGTACTGTAAGTTCATTCTTTTATACGCTCAAGAAAAATTTATTTCAGTTGTATCTTCATACGGTTTCTTCTTCTCCATTCCAATTTTCTTTGGTTTCATAGTGCAAACACATTATACTATTCCCACTTTAGGCCCAGATACCATGCTCATGGGTTATTAATCAATCTAAATTAGTAGGTTGGTCAAAATCAGGATGCTGCATCTATTAAACTAACTCCAGTATGAACACATGTAATTGCTCTCCTGAGGTTGATACTATATCAAATATGATGAACCAACAGAGTTTTGTAACATTTGCTTCCTTATCGCACTTATAGTCTTACACATTGTGGGTCTTTTTTTCTGAGAGCAGCTGCTTGTTGCCTATTAACAGTATGAACCAGAGCTCTTTCCTGGTCTGATCTATCGGATGAAACAACCAAAGGTTGTACTTCTCATTTTTGTTTCCGGAAAGATTGTCCTCACTGGTGCGAAGGTGATGTTCTCAATGCTAAAATTCAAATGTAACGTTGCATTATAGATATCTACACCTTTATTCATGATATTTGATCTGATTTAGGTGAGAGATGACATATACACTGCATTCGAGAGTATCTATCCAGTCCTTAAAGAATTCATGAAGATATCAACGGTATGGAAGATTGTTGCAATACAATATGTGCATGCTCACATTAAAATAGAAAACTTGTGTGACTCAACAATATTGGCCTAGTGATAATCAGCGATTTAAAAAGGCGCTCGGGCGAGGCGAGGCGAGGCCCGAGCGCATCGCTAATCTCCCAGGCGGCGCGCTTCAAACAGGCGCCGCCTGGGCGCTTGCCCGAGCCCAGGCGCTGGGCACTTCGGGCGAGCGCCTGGGTTAACCAAGGCGACCGAACCAGGATTTTAGCTCTGGTTCGGTCCTGGTTCGGTCTCCGATGGTTAGTTGGTTCAATCGAATCAACTAAAACTGCTATAAGTGACAACCAAACCCTAACCCACGTCGCTGCCGCTCCCGATCCCGATCCCGCTGCTCGCCGCTGTCACTGCTCGCAAATGCTGCCGCTGTCGCCGCTCGCCGCTGTCGCTGCTCGCAAACGCTGCCACTGTTGCCGCTCGCGCCTCCCACTCTCGCTCCTGCTCCTGCTAGGCCAAGCATAGAATTTGGTGTTGCTTGAAACCGTTTCAACAAATGATTTATAGCCATTGGTAGAAATGGAACCATCTGTCAGTAATGCTGTTAGCTATACTTTAATCTTTTGTTTGATGAAGCATCTTTAAATACTTTCAAACGTTTATTGCTATGCAATTGGTGAAGATACTCAAAAGAAGTCTGCAGAGATGGTTACTTATAATCCAAAATCATCAACATCAGCAGATAATTTTAGTTCTTTTGTGTTTTTGCTTCCATGATAAGTCAATATTAGTTTTTCCAGTATTGTTGGAGTGGTCTTTGACCACAACTGCTGCATCTTTTATATTCATACATGTTTCTGTGGTGCATTTGCTGATTGATGCATTGTGTGTATGTAGTTTGGTGAACTGTTTAATTAAAAACATGGTTGCCATTATCATTCCAATAGCCATGACGAAGACTTTTCTTACAGTTTATTGGAGTTGGGTATTGGAAACATATCTAGAATGTCTCACTAATGGATTTCTCTTTTCTCCGCCTCATGGTTATGTTTATTTTTCAGTTCATGAAAGATCTTCTAAATTCCTTTTTCTTTTCCCTTTCCCACCAAATTTATCTCTTATGATATTTTAGTAAATTCTCATTTCCGTTATATCGTTGTATGCAGACACAATCAGGACAATGAAGCAGGTCCAAGTGGCCTTTTGATAAGTTGCTATAATCCATCGACTGTACATATGAAGGATCGTTTAGGTAGATGCTAGAGCTCATTAAAGACTTGTGAATTCTGGTTCTTATTGAGAGTTTGTGTAGAATTTTATCATACAAATTATAATCAATAAAAGTCACTTCTCTTGTTAAAAAATTGTTGCTTTGGGCTTTTGATTCTACATGACAGAAAAATCTGTAGAGTCACTACTTACTCTGATTTGTCATTTGGCTCATCTCCAGCATAAGACCAATTCATGATCTCAAGCATTCATTGACTGGAAATGTAGTTAGCCAATTGATAATGCAGCCTTTGGTTTCAAGAGATTTTCTGAGTCTGAATAGCCAATCTAACTTACCCATTTCTGTTCTGTTGAAATAAATCACTGTACAGATCATTAAAGTAAATGATTACACCCTACTCTGTTGCCAAGTTATGACACTTCATCATAAAATCTATCTCTTGGCCTTATCTAGTCCATTGTGGCAAGATATTTCTTGTGAAATGTCTTAAAAAGATACACCCTTTCTTTGATACAGAAGACACAAAAATCTATCTCTTGGCCTTATCTGGTCCATTGTGGCAAGATATTTCTTTTGAAATGTATTGAAAAGATAAGATACACCCTAAAGACACAAAGGGAGGAAAGAAAATTCTAGTCATCACTTGGCCAATTTATGAGGCAGTTGGTACTTTTTACTCAACTCAACAAATCTTTTGGAAAACTGAAACAGTGGTTCAAATAGATTGCCCTACAGAAGTGCAAGAAGACTAGTGACTTGTTGGTGCAGTTCCCCAAATCCAATTCCATTTCCTGTCTTTAATGCAAGGATAAGTTTTCATGTCCCACCATAAAAACATGGTGCAAATCAAGCTTATATTTCTTCCAGCTATAAAATTTCTCCTACATTAAGCCTTCCCTTCCAACAGCACCCACTCACTAGCTATCACTACTTAAACACCATAATTCACATACTAAGTTCCCCTCCAAAGAAAGCAGGAGTAGCCATGGAGGTTGAGTCAGTCAAGTGTGAGTGCTGCGGGCTGCAAGAGGAATGCACCGAGGGCTACATAAGAAGTGTGAAGGCCAGCTTCGACGGCAAATGGCTGTGTGGACTCTGCTCTGAGGTGGTGAGAGATGAGTCAAGCAGGGAGAGGAAGAAGAGCAATGCAGTGGAGGAGGCTATAAGGGATCACATGTTCTTCTGCAGTAAATCTACGTCGAATCCAGCAGTTGGGGTGGCTGATGGCATGAGACAGATGCTGAGGAGGAGGTCCGGAGAGTACGAATCTACATCGAAGCCATCTGCAGTAGCATCTCCAAAGAAATATGGAAGGATGGGTAACTCATCTCAAGTAGGAGAGAACTCAGCGTTGTTCTACTGAGTAGTCTTAGCTTTTTGTGGCTGAGAAGTTTCTTTTCTTTCATTTCTCTTCTTTGTTTCCTTTGTCGTGCTGCTTCTCTGCAATGAAAAGAGGATTTGCTCAATGAAGCAGACACATTCTGAGGATTGCATGAATGTTTCAATACATTTGCAGGTGTTGCATTTGAATTGAATGACTGACCTTTGTCTGATGAGTGATGAGAAGTCTAGTTTCTGATGCCTTGATGGCCAATCAAAAACCTTTTTATTATTTTCCATGGAAATACAAATTATTTATGTTCCAATTACCAGATTCTGACTGACTGACTGACTCTTCATCAAAACTTTCATTGGACAATTCTGAAAAGCCTTTTATTTACCTTTACTTCTGATACCCTTTTTCTGGACACTTTGTACTGATTTGTTCCTTTCTCTTCATTTATGTAAAATTTCAGTTATTTCAATTTGGGCACTAATAATTTATTGGAAATATTTTAAACTTTTGTTTGTTCCTAATCCAAAGCCTGAATTCTGAGCACTCAGATTTCCCCTCCTTATATATTATTGGATTATGTAGCTGTGTATGACTACAAACAATGCTGAAAAGATTTGAGGAACAAAATCTAAATGCTGCCCCATTTAGATTTGGTAATCAAGGTGTCTAAGTGGCCTTGAAATCATCATGATGCAAAGGCCAGGTTGATTATAAAGTAAGGCAACAAGAGCCCCATTGTTGCATCAATCAGTGCCCATTAGGTTCCACAGTGAGGAAGCATGATTGCTTCTACTTGCAAATCATTGACCATGTTCCATTTACCTAATAAAAGGAGTTGCTGGTGTCACTAACAGAGAAAGCATCTGCTGCCATTACCCCCACCTACTGCAGTAATGTGTTCCTCAGAATCAAACATTGTTCATGAGATGGAAAGATCACAAGAAGTCACTAGAAGAAAAGGAGGCATGGACAAAAGTTTTAGATTCCTTATTTTTTTCCCCAGTGAATTAAGCCAAAGTAAAAGATTCTTTGTTTTGTTGTTGTTGAGGATATTGGATTATTTGCAACCCATCCAAGGCTTCATCACATCAAACATACATGAGATGGAATTAGTTTCTCAATTCCCCTTTGAAATTTCTTATCATTTTGACCAAATTTTTTGGATTATTTTGAGTCAGTGACATGTGAAAGGGGGACTGTGACAGAAATTAAATTGCAGGTTCTTATCCACATCAGAACGTTTAATGGTCTCTTTCAGCGAGCAGTTCATCGCATTCTTTTCTATTAAATGAGATGATATTTTACCTCCAACCTTAACCTTCTCTCCTACGCTGACTAAGCTCCACGTCGGAAACAGATCTACTACAAGATTGCTTATCTGCATAATTTCTTGTATCCATTCTCCAATGAACAGTCGATTAGGAGAAGTCGGTTCAGACCGGTCAACTATGACTCCTCTGTCGCACAGATACCGCTGAAGAGACCTATCACTACACACTAAAAACGAAGAACGACAATGATATGCTAACAATACAATCCTTCATCCATTACATTATGAGATCACATTAATCCGATCAGTCCGAGCTATCACTCTCATGGCCAGCCAAGTGAAGATGATGGGGGTGCTGAAAGAGTTACGTTTGCTTGGAGGACTTTTAAGGTCAAAGACAACATGAATCAATCACATTGAAAAGTTCAAACATATACTGTGGACACAGTGAATCCTTCCTTGCCGATTTCCACCTGTTTAAAGTCAAAACCAACTCACAATGAAACAATTTGAGATTCACCTTGAATTACTGGTTGACAATGGCTGATAAGAGTAGGAGTGGGAAATAATTCAGCAAGTTATCAGTGAACGATGTCATGAAACATTAGATAATTCAGCTACACCGAAACAGTACTCGAAAGGGAATAAGCAAATAAGCAAATTACTTTGACTAAAATACTTTCTGTCGCAAATAACTCGCCCTTGTTTCAAGATAGTATGGATTTGCGACTGTGAAAAAGTACGAGTTTGATGAACACAAAAAGGAGAAGAGCATTTAAAACTAACACCACATCAAATCATGTCCGGACCACAAATTGGCGTACACAAGCTCATCAGCCATATAGTCCAGGTGGGTTAACCTGCTTGAGGAAACATAGTAACCATCTCAGGCTGCAGAAACACCTGCATCTTTGATTGATTCACGCCAAGCATATTCTCTAGCTCCATCCTTGTCGACAATCTTGATCACAAAGTTTGGAGGAGCAACAACCAGTCTGGATCGGATTTCAATGATACACTTGTCAACTAAGTCAATAGCTTCCTCTAACGACATCCCGCTCTTGTAATGTCGGTCCATCATCGATAACGTAAAATAGGATCCATAACCAAATGCGCCCTTGTCAACTTTGTGGAGAGTAGCAATGTAATCGATATAGTAGAGAGATGGGCCAATATTCTTGTCATATCCAGCCAGCAAAATATTAACAAAATATGGATTCTGGGAAACCAAGAAGACGATAAGGCTTAAAATTCATGCCATCCGATCCCAAAAAAACACTGATTATAAAACAATTGAATAATTACAAAAGCAGATTCTCGAAAACAAGAGATCGGTACTTACAAGATGTGATATGAAACTCATCATTACATAGTACTTACTAATGAGAAAGTTACTCATGTATCGAGTATCAGGATAATTATCTCTAGTGAATTTCATATGCGGTTAAGTGGTCGAAGATTCAAGTCCAGTTATAAGCATCTAGCATGCATAGTTACGGAATAATTATATGGGAAAGAGTAACTTTTTTATAAAAGTAGCAAGATAACTACCATTGTCTATCTAAAACAATATATAGCGCGAACAAAAACTATGCTAAACAAAAGTGGGGTAAACATATTGGAGAAAATAAATTATTAAGATATTATCACTTAGGAAGGCACATTTTTGTGATACTGATTTACTAACGTCGAACCAAAAACTTCTTAAACCTGGTAAAATTATTGCAAACTTGTAAGATTCTATGGCTTAATGAAGAGAACTCCTTATGCTGACAAATCCATTGACGACTTCCATGTCTAACAGGTATCTAGATAGTTTGCAGCCACCAAAGGTCAAAGAGATTCAGCAAAGGTGGTTGAGATAACAAAAAAAAGCAAAGTTATAAAAGTGTTTTGTGGTGAAAAAGAAATTTGTAAAATTAAGAGACTCTTGCATGGGTTCCAATAAAGGTTCAACATTGTAAATAAGGGATGTTTTTCCAGGCCAATGTTAAGCTGCGGTGGAGGTTGCCTCAGATCTCTATGTTGTTTGAGATTTGGCAGCTGCTAAGTGACTCGAGCAGTCCTATTTTTAGTTTCTTTTTCCAATTTTTGATGAAAGCTCAAATGCTAAGGCAAAATTAGTGGTTAACTTGAAACTCTGAAAGGGATTATTCCATTTTGGTTGATGGCATGAGGTTTTGGTTATAACTCCTGACACTAACCTCTTTTAGAAGCATGTTGTGTGCATTTTGCTTAAATATAACACACAAATTTAACATCAAGCAAATCTATCTTTACTTTTTCTTTCATGCACTGATTTAAAGCTCAGATTTTATGGAAAATGCTGGTAATTAACATGAAACTCTGAAAAGGTTTTCCCATTTTAGTATATTATTTTGCCAACTTTTACTTCAAACTCATGACCACTAACCTGCTCTAGATGCAGTTTCTCCGCATTCTGACTTCAAACAAACCCACAACTTTGTGTTGCAAATGAGTTAATGGCATAATCATCTAAGTCTTTTCTAGCTAATAGAATCTCAACTCCAAAATGATCACTTGCAGTTCTCAAAACTTAAGCACCTAAATCACTCGTATCTATAGAACAACCTACCCAATTATATCATCACCCTAGTCATGTAAATCACAAATAACCTTAAAGGCATAACTAAGAAAGAGAGCTGACACTAAAAGACCGATAATCCCACAATCTCATCACTGATTTGGTCGCTCAAATCACTTAGTTGGCTTCGATTTCAATGATCAACCACATTGTCTTACCAATCAACAATCTACGTCACGAAAAAGAAAGAAGAAAGAAATTTCGTTGATTCGGTTTTCCCTAAATAGAAAAAAGAAAAGAGGAAAATTGCGCATCGCATCACAAACGACAGATCAAGGATCGATATATCGAATGGAAACCCTAGAAGGAGGGCAAACGGGGTAAGAAGGACGGACCTTGCGGAGGGCGATGGCAAGCTCGCCGCGGGTGAAGTTGGCAGTGGCGGCGGTGGTAAGCGGGATGCCATTCCGGAACTCGTAGAGGTGGACGTTCTTCTGGATGTACTCGGTGAACTGCACCCTGCCACACACAGATCACGGCAATCGGCCGGCAAATCAGAGGGCACGGACCGACGAAGAGCGAGAAGAGAAAAACAAATGAAAGATTAAGGGGATGGGAACGGACCGGTCGCCGGCCTCGCCGGAGGCGCCGAGGAGCTTATGGGAGTCGAGGATCATGACCTTGTCCTCGTTGGACTTGTGGACGAGGATGCTGTGAACCGCGGAAGTGTCCGCCGCCACCAACGCGAAGCCGTCGCCTACCAGCCCGAACACGCACTCCATTTCTTCTCGATCTCTCTCTCGGTAGTCGGTGAAAGAGGAGGCGAAGGAGGCTTAATAGTGTCGCAAGCGATCGAGTTGCCCAAATCGGAGAGACTTGGGGCACAAGGCAATGTGGGCCGGGTCGGGTGCAAGCGCGAGATCCAATTCGGGTATGGGTTTGGGTTTGGGCTCGAATTCGGATTTGAAGGGGTGTGGCTGAACCCAATTCCTAAATTAAGGGGAAAGGTCAACTTGGGTTCTTTCTATATGATTGAAAGCAATACAAAAAGATGGATCCATCTATCTTGTTTGTAAACTCAGCATTGGCAAATTATAATTCAGTGATTTGTTCCAATTTAAGACGAATATATTTTTCATATTCAATCTATGTTTAATGGTGTCGTTCTCATTTTATTTTTATGTAAAAATAATCTCGAATGACATCACATTAAGTGTCTTAATAAGAGTATATGATAAGAAATATGCACATTTGGTACATTATAATATATGGGTTTAGCATGATGAAATTTTGATTAACTAAAAATAATGATAAT